GAAACACATCCACGAACGCTTTCTCTGTTAAAATAAATAGGGATGAGCCTATTAGTGAGCTCAAAAAAGTTATCAAGGCCGAGCATGCTACGGTCAAAGACATCAAGCTGTGGAAGGTGGAAATTCCTGACGATCGTGATTCCGAGTGCTGAGGTGAAATAAAAATAACACCAATTAATATGCAATTCATGGGAGATTTCTTATTTTTAGCGCAAATAACAATGGAAATTCTTTAGCATATAAATCGTACTCCCAAACATAGCTAAACTAACTTCATTATGCTATTACAACTGATTGTTTATTGCAAAAGAAACTGTCGAATTCTGGCCAATGCTTCCAACACTTCTCGTCTCCCATCCGGTGTTGCAATGTCCAGACCAGTCTCTGGACGTTCCCTCTGTGGCCATCTTTTAATAAGAACTGACTCTTGCTGTGGTAAGCTGAAATCAAGTTCATCCCAATATTTTGAAGAGATTACAGTTTTGTAAAATGTAAAATATGAGGAGATGGCGCGAACCCCAAATATAGTTTGATCCGAAATTACGCCAGTTTGACGGTCAATTTGACGAATATTTTCATTTCCACACGCCAGTATCTCGGCAGCCATCTGTGCTTCCCCATGACCTTTCGAATAGATAAGGTTTTTAGTTCTCAGATGTTTATCCTGTTAAAAGAGTTGTTTGAGTTGACAAAAATAAGGATTTCTAAACAATCAAAACATACGGACCTCTACAACAATCATAGAAGTATTACCCCTATTGACCACAAATTCAGGTCTTGCTGTAACATAAGGCTCGCTTAGGATGTATAATCTGCATCGCAGGTGCTGTCTAAGTTTAGATATAATGTAAATTTTAGGAATGCATCACAAACAGAAGACCTTTCTCATAATTTCCCACCTAACTCTCAAGGGATGGTTATGCAGGCCAAGAACCTGAACTAGTAGAGTAGTTAACAGTGTGTCAGTCACAGATTCGTCCATGCCTTCATCGGAACCTAAATTCCTGGAAACTTCGTTCAGATCGATTAAGAATGCTTTGACTTGAGTGTCTGAAATTTCTTTAAGATTGTCAACATTAAATTTTCTATCTGTAATCGTTTGGATATCAATTTTTGGAAGAGCGTATTTGTCTGGAAAGCCAGTGACTAAATAATACCTAAATTGTTAGCATCAGGTTCGCTAAAAAAATTGTTAACATAGCATTATTCGTACCTTCTACATCATCAGGGAGGACGTGGCACTTGAGAGCTGGTTGGAAGCTCACTCCTAGTGCCTCCAAATCTTTTTTATTGAAATCAGATGCTGTAGTGTGGATGCGGTCAGTGAGCCCTTGTTGCCTAAGTTCTGCCCTGACTTTTTCTCGTGATTCCGCAAGTTCATTGTCAAATAATCTGGCAGTAGATGAGAAAAATACTGCTGGTCGAAGAGTGCATGATGTAAGACGAGAAAACATTGCAACGAGACCGAGCAACAAAGACATTTTTATGAACGTGAAGCGAAAAATTTTTGATACCAGATCAGATAATCTATAGATTATCTTCCACACGTGATTATGTGGTATCAAAATATCTTTCGTATATTAAAAGCTCTTGAATTTCTACATCTTGGATGATGCTTCTCCCGTTTCTTTTAGAATATTATACGCAAGGGCTTTGAGGCTAGAAAGTGCCATATTGATTACAGATATAATCAGATATATCTTGTTTTTATAACTCATCGCTTCGCAATAATAAGTACCGAAACTCAGGAGTCAATTGCACATCTCGGAATGGTGTTCCCAAATGAAAACACCTATTATCACGCATAAAAATCAATTATCGGAAAAAGAATGACCCTTTAGGCCTGATTGCTTTATTGTTACAAGATAAAAAATACATGTGAGACGAATACTATTTACCCCATTACTTTTTGGTAATTTTTTTGATCCTAGCCCTCTTACTTGCTGGGGAGTTATCGACTGTTACCCGATCTTTTAATAACCCAACAATAATTCCTATCACCTTTTTCACACTGCTTCGGAGCGTGTCAAGATTCTCTTTGATTGCGGTCTTTGAGAGATTTATCTGATATTCGCTTTCACTGGTGCAATAGAGTCCATCAGTGGTAAAAACGAGAAAATGCCAATCCATTCCTAGTATTGTTTTAGGTATTAATATTAAAAAAATTTGGGAGACGGCCTGCCCCGGAAAAATGCAAAGAAATTTTCACATACGGTAGACACGATCCCATAGAGATAATCATAGTCATCATTCCCAAAAGCTTGATCTGCTGTTCGTTTTTTCTTATTCGTATGATATGCGCTTTCGAGTTGCATGATATTTTGGAGATAGCCGATTTTGATGTTACGTGGTTTACCTTCGGCGATACACATGAGATCTTCCTTTCCCTTGATCGCGTAGTCGACACGCCCGGACGCTTCTTCACCAGAGACATCCTTTTGCAGTGATATATAGAGTTTTTCTTCCTTAGTAAGTCTTCGAACGATGACAAGTGATGCGTGTAGGATGGACGAAATAAATTCACAGCGGGTGGCTTCGTTGGCGTCAGTCATCGTTTCAATATTTGTCAGAATAAGTATGATATCGTCCACGCAATGCTTAAACGCTTCATCGTTATCATCTATTACTTCGAACACTATAATGAAAAAAACGTTATCATATGTTCGACCGTTCCCCAGGGAACGTTGCATAAAAAATACAACACCTCACCTGGATTGAATTGCTTGATGCTCGTAATCTCTTCTCCATTGACTTTGTATTTACGGAGAACATCCTTCAGCTCATCTAACGTTTTGTACGATGAGAAACTTCGTATCTTTTGTTCGGTAAGCTAATCCATAAGAACAGTCTTTATCACCAATTTCAAATTGTGTGATTCTTTGTAATTTTGAGTTATGTCTTTTCTTCATCTGTTATTACTGTCTTTTAATTTGATTTTATACTGTATTGATATCATCTGGCAAATGATGAATTAATAAGAATATTCAGTTTAATATTTCATTTTCTTCATTTTTATTTTCTTCTATTGGTGATGAATATTTCAAATCAATAGGTAATCAGGCATCGCTTCTATAGGTTAAGAAGAAAGGTTCATGTTTAGTAGTATTATTTCAAAGTATTCTATATGCAAATAATGCTGATGGTATGTCACATCCTATTGTTCATCTAATGTGATACAATACTTTTGAAGTATTCTACATAAAGTTCTGTTAAATCATTCTACTATTCTATTAATTTGTGGATGATATGGTGATAAAAATTTGTGTTTAATCACAAATTGAGTGATAAGTTCTTCAATTACTTGAGCTGTGAATTCAGTTTCTTGATCAGACTATAACTTTTTAGGATATCTATATCTATAAATTATTTCTTTGAAAATAAATTTGGTGATTGTACTAGCTTCTTTATTTGAAATTGCTTTTGCTTCAGATCATTTTGTAAGTAGATCTATTGCTATAGCAATATATCAATTTCTTTTCTTGATTGCTTTACAAGAATTAAGATTGATTACAATTCTATTAAAAGGCTATCCAACTTTAATAGAATGTAGAGATTATTTTGTAGTTCATTTACCAGTTCTTTAATAAGTTTCACAAGATTTAACAAAGTTCTTTATATCTGTTTCCATTCCATTTTACTAATATTTAATAGCTATTTATTGATAAGTTTCATCAAATCCAAAGTGTTCAGCAAGTAAATTTGAATATATGCTAGTCATTACTGTTTCAATTTTATTTTTTTTCAATACTTGAAGAGATGTAGTAGGTTCTCTTCTTCTATTTTTTTTGTAAAGCACTCTATTAATTATTAAAAAGTATTTTGATTACTGACAAATTTTCTTTTGTTATTCTTTAGTATATTCTATAGGATAACTTTCAATTTTCAAATATCTTATTAAGTCATAATATGTTGTTAAATCCATTATGTTGAGTTAATCAAATTTGGATAATTTATTTAATTAATTGTCTAGTAAAAGTTATTTTAAATAATTCATTGATTAAATGAGTTTGATATTCTATTCCTGTAAATATATTCTTGAGAGTGTATCTATATTTTGATTAGTTTTTCCAGCTCTATAAATGATAATAAAGTTATATTTCATTATGATCATTATTCATCTTGAGATTTGGAATTCAGGATTAACTTATTTAGTAAATAGTCAACAAAGTGCATTGTAATTAGTAATAATTTCAAAAAGAGATTTAAGAAGATAATATCAAAATTATCTAATAATTCAGACTACAGCCAGAGCTTTCTTTTTAGTAATACTGTAATTCTTCTTTGTTAGTTTGAGTGAAATACTTATATAAGCTACTACTCATTTTCTTTTTTCATTATTTTTCTAAGATAATATTGCACCAAGTTCAGAGTTAGAGACATCAGTATATAGATAGAATTTCTTAATAAAATCAAGATAAATTAGAATTAAAGCAGAGATAAGCTTTTTTTTCAAAGTCTGAAATACATTCTCTTAGTCTATAATCCAAATGAAAATAATATTATTCTTTAAAAGTTTAAATAGAGATATTACTATCTGTAAGAATTCTTTAATGAATTTTCTGTAATATCCAGCTAATTCTAAGAATAATCTAAGCTTTTTAATATTTGTAAAGATAAAAAACTCTTGAATTTATTGAATAGTTAAAGAATCTGGTAAAATTTCATCTTGAGTAATAATATATTTTAAAAAGGATAAGTTATCTCAAGTAAAATTATATTTTTCTAAGTTAAATTTTAATCTAGCTTTTCTAATTCATTGAAAAACTTTTTACAAATATTCTAGATATTCTTTCTAAGTTTTGAGTATATATTTATATTATCAATATAGATTATGATAAATTTCTAATTATAGTCTTCAAATATGTTATTCATAACTTATTGAAAGGTTGTTGATATATTACAAAGTCTAAAAGATATAACTTTGAATTTGTATAATACTTCTCTTGAAATAAAGACTATTTTTTTAATACTAAATGGTTCTATTTCAATTTGTCAGTAATCAGATATAAGATCTATAGATGAAAATTATTTTATATCTTCAAGATTATCAATTATTTTATTAATTCATAATAATGAATAGGTATTTTTCTTGATGAATATATTGAGTTTTCTGTAGTTAATACAAAATCTTTTCTTGCTATTTTTCTTTGCAACTACTACAATAGGTAAGATTCAAGAACTATTAGATTTTTAAATGATATCTGCATTTAATATTTATTAAATTTCATCATGAATAAATTCTTGATCAGGTATAGTTGCTCTATAAGTTTTTTGATGGACAGGCTTTTTATTTTTAATATTAATTAAGTGTTGAATAATATTGATTTATTCAAGTTCATTCAGATCTGATACAAAAATATCTTTATATTCTTCTAATAAGTTATGTAAAGTATCTTGTTATTCAAGTATTAATTCTCTTTATTTAATTGCTTTTTTAATTTCTTCTTTATCTAAAAAGTATACTTCTATTTTATCTTTTCTAATTGATCCAAATTCTTGAGTCTTACAAGATGATTTTTCTAATTCTTCTCTAGTATTTATAGATATCATTCTATTAATTAGGTAAGTTGTAAGAAAATTACTTGAGTAATTTATTCATTAGGTTGGATTTTATAAGATTCATTAAAATTGTTATGTAAAAGAATTTCAATATTTCTAGTATATCCAGTATTAATAGTTTTCTCTTTAACTTCAATTTTTTTCTTAGTTAATGATTATTAAGGTATTAGCTGATAAATAATTTCTATAAGAACTTTAATTGCCAAGTAAAGATCAATTATAATAGTTTGATGAGATTGAACAAGAATTACTTCTTCTCTAGAATATCTAAGATCAAAGTCTGCATCATATTTATAAGCTTATTCAGGTATTTTTCCTTTATCTTTATCATTATAAATTTTAATCATCAAATTTGCTAGTTGTTCTTCAAGTTTTTCTTTTTCTTCTTCTTTATTTTTATAGTCTTCAGATACTATATAATATTCATTTAAAATTTCTTCAATAAAATTATAATCACTATCTTTAGCTTTTTCTTCTTTTTTTAGTTTTGAATGTTCTTCTTTCAGTAATTCTTCAACCTGTTCAGATTATATATAATTATTATAAGTATTTGAATTACAAGAAATCAAATATTTATTATAGAGTTTCATATTAATATATTCTAATTAAGCAAGTTATTTTTTTCAAGAAGAAGATAGCTGTTGATAGATAGTCAAGAAGATCTCTTGAATTAATGCTTCTTCAGAACTATTATAAATAATATATTATATTTCTTTCTCTTCATCATATTTAATGATATATTAAGCAAGTATTACCTTTTTAATCTCATTATATTATTAATAAATATTTAGCAGATTATTATTACTTCTTAATTTTCTAATAGTACCATTATTTTTTTGCTAATCATCATGATTAAATGCATATAGGTATTGCTCAGTATAATTACAAAAATATTTGACTTCATTATATCTTTCATTATATA